CCTCTCCCCCTCCCCCTATCCTCTACGCGCTCCTACCCTTTGCGTTGCACCCGTAGGGGCACCGTCGCCGCGCACTGGAGTGGAGTGGAGTGGAGTGAAGTGGAGTGGGGTGGGATCCTGGGCCACTTTGACGACTATCCTCCCTGCTCCCGGATCCCTTTTAGGTAGGGGGAGGGGGTGAAGTGGGGGAGTCCTCACCCCACCCTCGTGCACGCGGAACGCGATATCACTAAGGCTCCGAATCGGAACCACGTTGTTCACCTCTCTCTCTCCCCCCCCCCCCCCCTCCTCTCTCTCTCTCGCTGCCATCTACTCAAACGTCGAATTTTGAGTTTGTCGCTCTTTAGAATTTGTTGGATTAGGTTGAGGCTCACAATCGCCGTGTATAAATGGGACCGGGAGAGAAACGATCTTGCTATCGTTCGCTAACGCGCGATGGACACCTTGTCCATCTCTCAATTTTATTTATTGAAACAATGGATGTGTATATACGTGTGTGTATGTGCAACTCAAATAGATTATTCAAATAATTGATTTAAATAAATCTTTCCGATATGTATCCGTGTGCCATGAATGCGATGGAAATAAATGATAAATAAATCAAATAATCCTGTTACACGTTTGAATAAATGCTCAACTTTTTCAGCACTTGATTGATTACGTATTTACCTATTGTAGGCTGCATCAGCTCTGTCTTTCTAAAATTGATGCTTTGATATTTGTAATTGCACATCCAACACACATATAAATATGTACGTACATGTATGAGTGGTTAAAAACAAAAATTTATCAATTTTCGAGCTGTCCTATAATATCATAATAGTGTCTTCTAATTAGTCGAGTCACCTCGTAATATCTCGTTGTGTTTTAAGAGAGTAGCGGAGACACAACGGATGTATGTACCTTTCCTTGGAAATGTTGAGTCAATGTTGAGTTTTAGAGATGAGACAAATTTTGTAGTCAACTGCTACAATAATCTGAGAATGCATCTTTTCCTGTTACAGGTGTAATCGTTGGAATTTTGAAAATGAATTTCACGCCTTTTTCTTCATTCACTGGCTCGTTGCCGACCGGCACTGTTCATCAATTCGCCACAGCCAAGTTCGCGCAGAATCTTACCACTGGAGGACAGGTGGTCGGCGTTTTATCCGGTGGTGAAGGTGGAGTTCATTATTTAAGACCAGTCGATCCAAATGGCTTTGCTGTGGCTCAGAGCGGTAATAGTCAACAGCAACAAATTATTACTTTACCTATTACTGTTCCGGGAAAGGATGGCACGCAGCAACAGCAGACTGTCCAAATACAAGTGGTCAATCCTAGCGTGTCTCAAAGCGGAAACAGCGGCGATCAGCCAAAGTATCATTTGGCACCGATATCCCTGAGTCAGTTTCCACAAGGAGCAGCTACCGTTCTCACTGTTGCTTATAGTCAGCAAGGCGCGGATGGTGTTCAAATTCAAGTACAACCGCAAAACACTGTAGCGACTACGCAAACGTAAGTTCATTTTTAAGTCTATTCAACGTTCTATAAATCTCGTTCTATTACTCTCACAAATATAATATTACAAATTGTAAGAGCAAAATCTTAGACAAAGTTAAGGGGAAAAAAAAAGATTCTGCCAATTTTGACACTTTAATTCGATTGCAGGTCTGATCAAACGACACAAAGTACGTCTACCGCTGTGACCACTACGTCTCAACAGACTATTCAACAGACGGTACAACTTCCGGGAGCGCCCGAAGGTCTAACTGTAGTTGCCCAGATTCCTCAAGACTTGATTCTACGAGAGAGCATAGAGGAGTCCAAGGAGGATGTTAAGGAGGGCACGACACCCGTGGCTCTTATTAAACGAGGTAGTGTCAAGAGTCAAGGTAATCAGAGTGGGGAAGAATTCATTACTTCTATGCCTGCCAGCTGGCAGAGTCTCGCTACTCCAGGATCCACGGTCGCAGATTATCTCTCCAGACTGCCAACAAGTACTTTGCCTCTTAGTTTGCAACATTTTCTCAAGTTTTCGGCGGAAACTATTAAAAGGGAAGCTACCATTGAATCCAGTCCGCTCGGACCGGATGGTCTCGATGCTTCTGGAAGTACAGCTTCGGGAGAGCAAGCCGTGCAGATTACAGTCGCCGGAGGAGAAACGGCCATCATTCCCGACGTTGTCGAAGAACAGGAGCCAGGAGCGAAACCTAAGCGGAAAAAAAAATACAAAAAGAAACCACCGAAGCCGAAGAAACCAAAACCAGGACAAGTGAGTATAGTCACTGCTCTCGATGGCACGACCCTATTTTGCTGTCCTCAATGTAATATGGCGTATCCGGAGAAGGAAAGTTTGGAACAGCATTTGATTGGACATAAAATAGAAAGGAGATTTATATGCGACATTTGCGGCGCTGGTCTTAAACGAAAGGAACATTTGGAACGGCACAAATTGGGCCATAATCCTGATAGGCCTTTCATTTGTTCCGTTTGTATGAAGGGCTTTAAACGAAAAGAGCACTTGAATCTTCATTTTGTTATACATTCTGGGCAAAAGACCGAAGTTTGCACCGAATGCGGCAAAGCATTCTATCGGAAAGACCACCTTAGAAAGCACGCGAGATCTCACCTTACTAAGCGTGCCAAAGAGGATCCATTGAATACGACGAACGATACGTCGCAGAATAATCAACAACAGACGGACCAACAACAAGTGGAACAAATACAGCAACAGTCGTCGGTACCCGAATTGCAACAAATTCAGATTCAAGTAGGACAAGGATCCCAAGCGCAGATTCATCAGATATCGGTTAACGAACAGTCTACCGTAGTTTTGCCTACAGCGGCTGAAACTGGAGCTATGACGATGCTTCATCATCAGCAACAGCAGCAGCAACAGCAGCAGCAGCAGCAATCACAGCAATCACAGCAACAACAGTCGCAACAGTCGCAACAGCCGCAACAGCAGCCACAACAACAACAACAGCAACAGCATTAGCAACAGCATACCGCCCCGAATCAACTTGGGCGGTTCTTTCGTTTCAATCATCAGCACGCTAAATGTCGTACACGACATAGCGTACTCGCTGATTAAGTTTTGCAAATTTGATAGGAAAATTCATATTATCGAACGAAAGTTTCGTTGGCTAGTTGATTACTGATTACTTTTTTTACGTAGTCTCTTTCAAAGGCATTTGAAACACCTCCATTTTCTTTAAGATGTACGTCCTTGGTCCAGCGACACAAAGCCAGTTTGTTAGAATTGAAATGTTCGCGCCATCGGTTTGAATCACCTTTAATCACGGCACAAGCTCGTGTTTATAATAATTATTATCTTGTAAAGCGTGTCGAGCTGAAGTGACAAAAAATGCGTATACACAAATTTCTCTTTTACGTACACGTTGTAGCGTACGTGGAAAGAAGCGACGAAGTTGCCGTTCGCCTCAAATAAGATTGTTTTTGTCGCTAATCCAGTTCCATGACGCAAGTTGGAAATAAATATGAAGTTTATATATATATATACACACACAGACACACACACACACAGATAGGTACACACGCACACGCACACAAACAAACAAACAAAAATATATATTTTTGAAAGCGCGAACTGGATTCGCCCAAGATAGCATGGCGATCGAGTTTTGGGCTAATAATAATAATAATCGATTATATTTGAATGATAATTCGCTTTTACGATGATGATAAAAAATACGTAATGAAAGAATTAAACGCGAGAGAAATACGTATGGAACAGATTGTAAATACATGTGCGAATTTTCATGAATGTGAGAGGAAATGTAATAATAATGGTACGTGCCGTATGCGCGCGAGGTGAACTCTATTTATTTCTCTTATGCAATACAATCGTGACATTATAAGGGAATCTGCCGAGATAAATTGTAAGTTCAATTTGTATTTTGTAGGAATATATCAACGGAAGCATGCTTACATTTTTCTATAATTTAGATCATTGCATATGTTGCCTTCGTAAAAACGCAGAGTATTGGGGACGATTGATGAAACCCAAGCTATATGAATAACGAGTTACGAGTTGGTGGTAGAATTACATATAAAGAACCCATAACGTTTAGTACTTTTTCAGAAATGGAAGGGAAAAGGATAATAATTATGAAAAAAATTACTGAATTACGCATTTGCGTAATGATTTACGCTGCTGTGAAATTATCGTTTCTACAATCGATAATTCTTCGGAATCCGCAAAGGATTCATCTTGATTTAATATCGATGTTTGCGCAAAAAGAAATAAACTTGCACGTCGTAAAATCATTACGGACAAATACGAAATACTTGCGTAAATTCAATTGGACACGAATTAAATGATACGATACAAAGGAATATGTAAAGGAACATAGAAGATAACAAAGAATATAGAGAATTAAAATCTTCGAATGTTAACCAAATCGATGAATCGTGATTCACCTGAAAAAGCTTTTTTATAAAGGTGTATGTATACATGAAAAAAAAACTTCTTACTGTAAGTATTACAATTAAAGGCAATGGGTAACTGTACAAGAAATATTATTATTTTATTATCATAATATTATACAGATATATATACCATTATCGTAGTTAGGATAAGAGTAGTACATAAGTCATTTTCATTGTTACTTACATAAATATTGGAGGAGAAAACTGAAATAAAACATACATTTAATACAAAATTATTCTTACCTCTCTAATGAGACATTTCTTCACACGTTACGTACCTTTCCTTTGTAAATAATCTTATGTTCAAGTTTTATATATATGGCTGATCCAAAATTCACGAATTCGTAGTACAGGACATGGTACTTAATGCTAAAACAAACAACTTTTTCCTTTAACAAAATTGCGTCCGATAAATATTTTTTGCGCTTATTTGTTAACTTTAATCTATTCTGCAAAAACTATTTATCGGACGCCATTTAAAGGAAAAAGTTGTTTGTTTTAGCATAAAGTAAACTCTAAAAATTTTTTCAGAATTTTTTACCAACATGAGAAAATATGGTATTAAAAAATTCTGAAAAAATTCTCGGAACTTTATGAGAAGAAAATTAACGACCAAGAGCAATATTTGGCAATTTTTAGTAATCATTATAATATCTTGTTAACTATTGCAAAAATTGCAAAATGGTAGAGGACTTTTCGATTCAGTTCGATTCACTCTACTCACGGGTGACGAAATCATCCTGTATACATATATATACAGGGTGTCTCGCAATTACCGAATTTCCTTTTAACAACGTATTCTTGAGGTAATTTTGAGACGAAAATCCTAATACAAAAATGTCGAGGCTACAATAGTTTTCGAATTAAAGATAATGTGTAATTCGAAATATAAAGAATCGAGAAATAATAATAGAGGTTCTAAAAGTAAAATGGTTTTTTACTTGGAAGCATTTAAAGTTGGCTCACAATTCCAAAACTGTTTTAAAATGCATGCATATATGTATCAAGAGATGTGTGCGAAAGTAAGGCCGATGTATCCATGTAGAGGGGATGTAACGGCATATCGGCGGGAAAAGGTGCAAATAGAGAATCTTGCTCGCGATTCTGGTACTTTCGTCCCGTTCACGCCGGTGCGATGCTCTGCGACGCTCTGCGATGCTCTGCGACGCGTCGCGGCGCGTCACGTCGGGAGGCGGGAGATCCGGGAGAGAGAAAAAATAGTTAAGAGGCTGGCACAGTAGAGGGCGGATAAGTGGGATGGGGACACCGGTTTGAGAGACAGGTGTCAACTGTACACCGCGCGAGAAATCCTTTTGCCGGTGACAGCCGGTTGCGTGGAAGAAACGTTCCAGGCGAGTTTTCACCGAGGATTACCGAATGGTAAGCGACCCTCCCATCCCATATCGTATCTCTTACATTTTGGCTGCGCGCGTGGTACGCGCTAGACTGAGAATCGTACGCACGGCCATTTTCTCTCGAGTTTGATACGTACGGCGATGGTACCCCACGTCCCACGTCCCACGTCCCACGTCCCACGCTGCGCGTGGAATCGTATCGACTAAGTATCGGACGAGGTGGGGCGCGGAAGAAGAGGAGGAGGGGGGAGGGGGGAGGGCTGGTTGGCTGACGGCGGTTGCGTCCCTAGTCCCTACGCGTGTAACGCGTCCCCTTGACAATCGACCTCCCCTCCGCGCGCGCGCGCGCGTGCACCCCATCTTCCACGACTATCTTTCGTCGGCGGGTTTTTTTTTTTCAGTCGCGATAGTCGGATCCTTTTTTTCGTCGGCATGTTCTCGAGTGCAGCCCGGTTTGCAGAGACCACGTTCGTCGCGCGAACAAGAGGGGTGGCGTGCCATATCTAACCGCGGTGGCGTGTCCTTGGCCGCGAATCACCTTGGTGTCGCCGGTTGACGATCATACGTCAGGTTGTCAGTGTCGAGGCTACCCAGGTTCCGATTCGAGATTCGAGATTCGAGTGGTGACGGACGCTGAGATCGACGACAGAGTGGCTGACCGACGCGCTTTCACGGCTTTGACGCTTCTCTGTGTCTCGCAGAATCTCTTCGGCCGAGGCAGAAAAAAAAGCCAACTGCGCTCTTTCTCTGGCGTCTCCCGATCGTCCTCACGTGCGAGAAGAATCTGCACTCTCGTCTCTGTCACAGGGATTTCTTCCGAAGAAAGAAGAAAGGATCCGATACGGCGAGGAAACATGGGGAGAGGGACATCGTTGTGAGTAAATATAACGCCGGGCGTCGCTCGTCGCTCGTCATCATCGTCGTCGTCGTCGTCGTCGTCGTCCTCGTCGTCGTCGTCCTCGTCGTCGTCCTCGTCGTCGTCGTTGTCGTTGTCGTCGTCATCGGTATCGTCGTCGGGCGCCGCTGCCGCTACCGCTACCGCCACCGCTGCCGCCTCTGCCACCTCCTCTTCCTCCGCTGTCGCCGCGTCTGTTACACATAGACAAAGTTATGCCAGCGAGTCGAGATGCCGTTGCATCGGCATGCGTAGAGGTACGCGATGAGAACGGAGCGATTTGGAACGCGGCCGGCGCGGCGACGGCCTCTCGGCTCGCTTCCACGCGGGTCCATTCGCCTTTATTTCTCTCACACTTCGCTTAAGGAGATATACACATACATCTCCTTCGCATCTAGTAACCTTGAATTTTTCGTACTAAACACTTTTCCATTTGCTCATGAAAGGCACTCATCAGTTTTTTCCTCCCTTTCTAGATACACGAATTCTGCTTACGGTCTGCAATGAATTTCCCACCGTTCGGAGGTCACTTCCCCAGCACCATACCGAGTATCCATCAATTTGCAACCGATAGTTCCAGTGGTGCAGGCGCGCGTTACGCCAATCATTTTCCCAACCAGCCTCCAATCGGAGTGCCGGTTGTGGGAAAATACCGTCCCGAGAACAACGGCGTACAGTCGGCTCAGTCGCAAGTTATGATGAACAATAAAGCTAGCTATCCCAACAGTTCTAAGCCAAATCCGTTCAGCAACGACCAACCAACTCGCCTGGAATGCAAGAGAAACGATCGTATCATCAGGTAAAACCTTCGCAACTTTCCTAACACCTCTCAATCACGTATTACTTGACTCGTTTTCTCTGTCATTCTTTAGCAGTTTATATTTATGCCAAATATAATTATCTCAAATTTCTCTCTCCTCGTCAATCAGAGTACATTTTTGAAAATCATATTGAAATCATTATATCGGAACGATAAACAATAAACGTTCAAACGTTCAACATTGTGGATTATTCTCGTAGCGTTAGTCGCTTTTGAATTTTAAGCTTACTTATACGTAACGTAAATTCTTCTGTCACGTAGCAATCTACGGAAACTATAAACCAACAAGATGTTTGCAACCTTCTTCAAGACAAGGACAAGAACAAGGAAAAGAAGGCTGAGGAGCAACAGCGGAATGGAGAGACTACGACGAATGGCACTCAACAACAGGATTATACGATGCACCAACATCACCAACAGCACGCTCATACTCAAACGCCAGCTACTATGCCCGCAACGTGGCAGTCGCTCGCGACTCCCGGTTCCACTGTAGCTGATTATCTCAGCCATTTACCAGCTAGCACTTTGCCATTGAGTTTACATCATTTTCTCAAGTATTCTGCCGAAAGTATCAAAAAAGAGTCGGAAATGGCGCAGACAACCTCCGTGGCTGTGGCGACTACGACAACGCCCAATATAATGATGTCACCGAATAATAAAAAGAAGAAAAAGAAGAAGACGCCGAAGGAGAAGAAGCCACGTCCGAAACCTGGCGAAATTCGTTTAACGACAGCGTTAGACGGTTCGACATTGTATTGTTGTCCAGAATGCCACATGGCGTATCCAGAACGAGAATTGTTGGAGCAGCACCTTTTAGGTCACACTTTAGAGAGAAGATTTGTTTGTGACATATGTGGCGCTGGCTTGAAACGAAAAGACCATCTTACGCGTCATAAACAGAGCCATAACCCTGAGCGACCTTACGTTTGCACCGTTTGCTTGAAAGCTTTTAAAAGAAAGGAACAATTAACGCTACATTTTGTAATACATTCTGGGGAGAAGCGACACGTGTGCACTGAGTGTGGCAAAGGATTTTATCGGAAGGATCATTTACGGAAACATACCAGAAGTCACATTGCGAGAAGAGTGAAGGCTGAATTGAGTCAAAACGCTGGTAAGAATAGCTTAAAATCATTTTTTTTCCTTATTCCTTTTCTCACCTCTCTTTACATCATCAAGTATACGATACTTGTTTCTGTTGCAGGTACGCAACAGAATCAACAACAAAATAACGTTTCGAATATGCAAACCACAACTGTCTCAGCGTCATCCGTTCTTCCGGGTGGACATCCGGGTTCTCTCCTGTCCTGAGCCCCGCCACCAGGGAACTTTCAGGTTCCCCATCCAAATAATATTCTTCATACTCATACATCGCATCATTCGCTACATCATCATCATCTAACGGCAGTAAATGTAGCACATCAATCAACCGTCACACCACTCGCTACATCTGGTCATTATCAGTCACATGAGCTTAACTTTTTGGGGCACGTTAAAGATTTCTGAGACGAGGAGAGAACCTCGATGAAGAGGTAACACCAAGATGCTAATCAATTGTCACTATCATCGCTAACGACGATAATAATTAGCTCCGAGACTGACTCATGATTTCAATTGAATGAATGAATTTTATAAATGTGTTACGTTATTTACGTTATTTGTGCTTCTAACTTCCTCCTCGTTTTGTCTTGTCAATATAATAGGGAAGGGGAGGAAAGTGATGTCTCATTCCTTCTTCAAATCTTAATTTATTTTTTACTAGACAACTTGTTACGTTTGTCATGTAATTTTCATTGCCAGTAATGTTCCCACTACAATAATAATGCTATACATCAAGAGACATGATAATATTTTATGCAAATACAAGAGATGTCCAATTATGATAAAGCTTCCCCGTAACTAGGCTAACATATTTCTTTTTACATTGTTTCATTTTACAAAGTTATTTTATAAAGATAATGTTTGTCTAGCTGAAAATTAATCAAATTCGAAATCACTCTTATTAACATCTTTCTTTTTTCCTTTTTAGATATGAAACGTGAGACGTTTTCAATTCATTTTTCTAGTCATTTTGCATGTAATAGTATTTTGGTAAAAGTCATCAGCAATCAAATTTATACAAAATACATATTACAAATTTATTTTATATAAAAACGTTATTTATTTTATTCAAATATATATATGTGAGTTTTGAAAAAAATTTTACTTCATTGATTATATAATTGGACATCCTGTTTATAAATGTATTATAGGAGCAATTTGTGAGATATAATAAAGCGTATCTTTTAGAAAAAAAATGCTTTTTTCGAATAATAATATATAAAAAATAAAAAACAGTCATAGACACTTATATGCTCTTTATAGCACAAACAAAAAGTACATATGTGGGAAAAGTACTAATTTTCCACGGAAACTCTAGAGTAGAAATTTGACTGCAAGTCAAAAATTCTTGCCATACGTCGTGTACGACGAGGAAAAAGAAGATATTTTTATGAAAAGTCGATGTAACTTAGAAACTAAGTGATTCGATGTGAGAGAGAGAGAGAGAGAGAGTATGCGCGCGCGCGCGTGATGTGTGCGTGCGTGCGTGCGTGTGTGCGTAAGGGAGATAATACATCTCTTTATTTTGTTTTTTTATATCATTGAATTTACATTCATATGAATGATGTGTGCGGTAAATTGTCAAATATTTTTTTAATTTTTTTGTTAAACAACATTACAAGTGCAAATAGTGTAAAAGGAATGAAAATTATATAATATTCCTAGTACACATAATAGAATTACAAGTCAACCCACCGATTAGAAAACAATTTTTTATGAAAGAATAGAATTATTTCATTTTTATAAAGGAAAAAGATTATTTATATTAATTGTAAAATTTTTTTGATTATGCTTTATAAAAATGTAAAAGCATAGCAATATTTCATGATAGATAAAAATCATATATTGTTTTATTAAAACTTACGTTAGTTTAATATATAATATAAAGTTGACAGTATTTTATATTTTTATGATAGTTCCAAATTTTTCTCTTGTATGTGCAGTGCGCGTGCATACGTGTGGATGTGTAGGTTGTATGCAGGATCTATATGTATATAACATTACATGTAAATCCAAACATATTTGCCCAAATAATTGAAGCAAATATATTCCTTATTTTCCTTTGTGACTTATCATAGCATTGACCATTTGTCATGTTTAATTAGCCTTTATAATTTTTATATAACTTTTTACATTGTTTTTATACATATTTTTCGTTGGACTTCTTATATTCGTTACATTCGTTGAATACTGATTATATATATATAGATACTATATATACGTAAGATTAATTTAAGTATGTAATTTTTAAGTATAAAAATATACGCGTATGTGTGTGCGTGCGCGTTTTGTGTGTGTGTGTGTGTGTTTAAGGTAGTTTTTAATTTTTATATTTATCCACATCGCAAATCTCTTCACAGACTGTGATCGTTCCCAGCGGACATCTGATGTAATTATCAATTATCTGCGTTTTAAGTTTATATTTTTGTCTCATTTTAGTATTAATGTTCGTGCCATTCATTTTAAATTTATTTCCTGTCAATTTTTTTCTTGCCATACTAATAGATATTTGTCAGATACTTATATAATCATAGGTACCGCTGTGTGCATGGTTACGCACGTCTCACACACACACGCACACACACACACACACACACACATTTTTTATAAATTAATTATCATCATCATTATCATTGTCATTGCTATTATTTCTTATTATCATTATTGTTATTATTACAATTATTATTTATCTTTATGCATATTCATAAATATTATAGAGAAGAAACGACGGACGTGTGTATATATTATATAAACATGCATATTGCAACGTGAAATGTTAGAAATATGATGAGAAATATAAGAGAATTTACCTTTACTATTTCAGAAATAAAAATTCCGAATATACAATTGTGTATCTCTGTTGATTGAAACACTTTGCTAAGCTTTATTGAAACAGTTATTATATCGGTATTAAAATATTTTATAATTTACAAACAGAATATTTATAAAGATATGAGATATCCACTGTTTACATATATTATTACGCTATATTATTACTTAAAAGATTATTCGAATGCACTTTTTTTTATCTTTTTCATCATATCTCTAATATAAATCGCGTTTTGAGTAACAGAAAATTCAGGTTTCGTCAGACCTCAAATATAATGATATATTATAATTATTTCATACACTGGTATATATACATGTGTATACTAAAAACCATATGTAAGAGATCAATTAATATTAAGATATTTCATTGCCACGTACTTATAACTGTCGAGGCAGAGCGTTAGTCTTAAATTATACATTAGCGAGTAAGAGTTTATATACAGATATACATACTATTAAATAAGAAAGAAACAGAAGAAAACAAAAACTAAAAGCTGTACGCGGGACGACGTGTAAAATATCGCGCACTTTTTTTTTTTAATTTGTTGAGAAAAAGTTTAAAATGTATACATAATTTTTCTTGTAACGCAAAGTATATGACAGCTCTAGAGGCGTGTAAGAACATTTAAAAAAGAAAAGTTTATAAAAAATTAACTTTTAATTAGAGAATTATGTAGACCTTTTAATAGTCTTTTAATTTAGAGATCATTTATCGAACTGCCTATAGCTCTAGCTATAATAAAATGACATGGAAAGATGATGTAGTGACGTCTATTTTGATCTATTTTGATCACTATTGTCATCTTTTGAATGTTACTTGAAAAAAGAGCGCGAGATTTATCATACGTCCCATGTGAGAAGAAATCGATGAAAATATATATGGAAATGATACAAGTCTTGAGGAAAGTAACCTGTTTTATTTGCAGATAATAGGCAGGATATACAAATAATAAAATGAAAGATGAAAGATAACGAGAAGAAAAAATAAATAGCTTTATGAGAGAGAGAGAGAGAGAGAAAGAGAGAGGGGGGAGAAAGGAAAGCGGATGAGAGAAAGAAGCAAATATTTCCAAAGTTCGACATACTATTCAAACAAATGAATGGCTCAAGATCTATTTTGAAGGATAGCTAAAAAAAAAACCTATTTCCATTCTCGACGAGGCGAGTTTATTCTTATGGTTTATAGAAACGATCGTTTCGTCGAGCTGCATAGATGTAGTAATGTTCCTGTAGAAAAAGGAAAGATAATAGTTGATGCGTTTCTAAAGAAAAAGAAAAAAAAAGAAGAAGGAATACTTTTCCGGTGCCTTTATATTGCGCTGGATTTTCCGCACCCGTATAGTTTTCCATGATAAGGTCTAAGTCGAAAAAGCGGCGCGTTGTGCCTCTCCGTTCTCGGAACTACGTGTACACTTGTCCGCCTCCACGATGTTGGTTCGAGCGACCGTCTTCTTCGTTTCTGTTTCTTACATCTTTTTTTTCCAACTGCAAGCGTCAAAATATTATCGGAACAGCTTGAATTCCGGAACGTAACGTGTCGTATCTTTGATTATCAAGCATACTTTGTATGTCTGTCAATGCAGTTTCTTAATTTTTTTCAAAAAATCAAAAGCCAAAAGGAATAAATACAATTTATCTGTATCATATGCGAATGTGTTTATCGTATTCGATGAACGAGAATGCCATTTATTTCGTTTATGTGCCTTCTTCTCTTCTGAAAGAAAATATAATGTATTCGATTCATTTTTTTTTTCTTCAAATCGAATGTTGATTAATTTTAGTAATTATAGGAAACAAACACGGTTATTGAATAGAAATGCCATTTCTATGAAGTATTAGGCACGCTCGTTCTATTTGATATTTCGGTTCGACTAAAATGTCTCGGTGACATCTTATACTTGCTTTTCTTGTCTTAATTAAAAGCGATCAATTATGAAGATGTGAGTTTTATAGAAGGTGATGCTGATGATGCTGATGATGATGATGACGATGATGACGATGATGATGATGATGATGATAATAAACTCATAGTAATAACAATAATCATAATATTAAAATAACAAAACAATAATAATATTAGTAATAATAACAATAATGATAATAGTAAGATTAGAAGCAACATAGAGAAAATAAGATCCGTTTCTCTTGCGACGCGCTTACTAGTTTTATGCGAAACCGCAAAAAAAAAAAAAGACTAAAAGACTTTTTCAAGTCAACAATGATTTACATTTGATGCGAATCATGTACAATGCGTAGCTTATTTCCTTCATACATTTACAATTGTTCAATAATTTATCATCTTATGATGTGAAATCCGTAAGTACTCTTTTATAATCTGCTCGAAGCGCGAATAATGCTAAATAATTTGGCATTTTTCTCTTCCGCTCTCTTGCCATAAATGTACGTATACTTGTAAAGTATTTTTTTTATCGTTGTATCCAATCTGCTATTTTGTTGATTCATTTGTTACGAACTGCGAATATATCGATGAATGGTAGATCGTATAAAAGACGACCATTTAAAAACTAACTAGTCGTCGTAAAACTATTTGACGAGGGTAGTAAAAAAATTATTTAAAAAAAAAACAAAAAAAAAACAAAAAAAAAGCGTGACACCATTTCGATGTACTCGGATGTGAATCTCTCAGGAGCAGAGATGACAATGAGAAACATATTTTTCTATGTGCAGTATCAAAACTTTCAATTGTCTGTATTAAAGCTATATAGGGCAAAGAAAAAGAAAGAAAAGTGAAGAAAGAATTTATCCCATCACAAAACGCGAGTATCGCAAGTGCGAGTGTAATTTTATTAATTGATTCGTGCAAGAAACAAAAGTTGAAGGGATGAACGTGCGTTTACTGCTTGTTGTCAAAATTACCACTTATTTGTCTAAGATTTTCTAAAGCAGTCACTTTTTGCGTAACACATTAAATATATAAAGCCAATAAGAGCATCTCGTTCAATGGAAGATTTTGCATAGACCAGAGACAAGAGACGCATCGTTATTTATTACGTTTAATCTTTTTGGCTTATCTTTAATCGACGCCTCGTCGCTATGAGTGCGTGCTACGAGTGTATGCGTGATTGCGTATGCGTAATTACAAAGTTTATGTAACACAAATATGTTAACAGGCGATTGACGAAAAAAAAAAAAAAAAAAAAACAAACAAATTCCTCGACATAGTACAAACGCTCACAAATTCTTCTTTTTCTCAGATAGATTAGATGATTAGCGTGACAAGGTGTACAAGTCATACGAGTGAAACGACCGGCTGACCTCGAAGTACGAATTTCTTTTTGTCCAATAGCAGTATGATCTTTTCCGAAATATAAGTATGTCTTATGTAGGAAGCAAACGCGAACGAGTCCTTACAATGCGATACATTCAGATGTTGAGTGCTCGATTCAGTTTGTATTTTCGAAACAAATTTTAAATATAATCTCCATAACTTTTTTCGTCTTGCTTATCATCTACGAACCTTCCTGTAATCTCACTCCAAGTGCTACTTTTTTTTTTACTCGATATTACCGAAGCAATAAACACCAATTTGAGGAAAGAGAGAAGAGGATGCTGTTTTTCTAATTTAGTAGTTATATACTATACACGAATACAAATGCGAAGTGACTTCGAGGACTCCCGGCAAATTGTTACATTACACTGACGGCTTTGTAATATCTCTTCTAAATGTTTCAACCGATTATTCTTTCGTTTAAATTATTTTAATTTACATTTTACGATCCTTTCTACATCGCTGCACCGTTTTAGTTGAATATTTGTACCGCAGAGTCTTTCAGGGTACAAAAATACTAATTATACGCGTTGTATGTAAATAAAAAATCAACACATGAACAAGCACAGAAGGGTAGTGAAGAGAAAGAAAAGGACAAGACAAATGTATTAAACAAGAAAGAGATATAACTAAGCGATTTTCTGATATAACGTTTTATTTTTATATAGAATGCTTAAAATGTCTATCAAGTCTAAGAACGTGAAATGAAAAAATGAATAGACGCGGAAAATATAAGAGCGTTAGGTAGTAAAAAAGAAAAATATTCTGAAAAACTCATAGTATATATTATACTAGAAAACGAATAAATTTAGATCGCGAAACTGAGAGTCTAAAATTTGTGCACATTTTTCAGATGTTTCAGATGAACATCTTTATATATTACATCATATTTGATGCACCACGCGCACACACACGCACACGCACACACACGCACACACACACATACACACACACAGATGTATGTATATCCATGAAAATGCGTGACGTACATTTTTTCTTACAATTCGTATACGTATATAATGTGTGTACATACAGATATACATGTATATGTATGCATGTATGTATAAATTGTAAGAAATCAGATTTATTGTTCGGAACGCCATTATCCGAAAAAAATTCGACTCTCTCTCTCTCTCTCTCTCTCTCCCTTCCTCTCCTCCCGTTGCTTTTTATTTTTTCTTGTTCCTTGTGCGCAAGAGTGACGCTAAAAACCATCGATCAATTTAAATATGCGTTTTTGCATTTCCAATAACTATGTATTATATAAACGAGGTAGATATTTTTATATAATAATCATTTATTAATTTAATTACGATTATTGCGTTAATGACAAAATGCTATTCCTTCCTCTTCAGGGATCATTTTTAGATCTTGTTCTTCTCTTGTACATGCGTTTGTGTCCGTGTGTCTGTGTGCATGTCTGAATGCAATATACAAAAGCGCAACTTAGCGATATAATAAGAAAATGTCAATAAAATTACGAATTTTCATATAAATGCAATGTATAATGTGGAACCTCACAATTGATTTAATGTATTACTAATGTTGGAAATGAAAGCGACATTATCTTATTTCTTCTCTTTCGTAGAATAAACATTTGGATATATTCAAATATATTCTCTTCGCGCAATAATTACTAAAGTAGAATAAGACGGGGTCATTTCATACACTAACAAGACTTTGAAAGATAAAATTATTTTTAACAGTACATATGTATATAAACAGATAAATATCATTCTTTCCTCTCAAGTAACGATAATTTTTATCTACAGATATGCATTAATCTACTGTAGGTGATATTTCCATTCTTAGCTAAAGAATGGAATTGTTCTCTACAACAATAATTTGTTAATAGTCTTGCTACAAATTGCAAAAATACTATTACGCTTTCTTATTAATCACCGTGCAAACTTAGTGTATAAATTATTTCAAATACCGATAGAAATATTTAATCTTTCACAAAAAGATGTAATGAAAATTACAAATTTGTATTTATGTGCGCATATATATAGTGTATGTATATATATATATATATATATATATATATATGCACATGCACACACGCACGCACGCACACATATGCATGAAAACATTGTTACAATGTGACGTTAGTCTGCCTCTCAATTCCTTACTTCGCAAGCAAAGAAGAAGTAAAGAAAAATCAACGACTTGTAGAAGCAACATGCTATTGCGTAATATTATCAAATTATTGACATTATCCTTTCTCCTCCACTTACAAAGATATTTAACGCACTTCAGCATTTCACGATTCATTTCTATTGTCTTGTAATGCCTACGTTTGTAAATTGATCTCTTGAAGAAACGAAGAATATCGCTTTAGATAAGAAGCATAAAAAAACTACATCTCTAAACTCAATTCTGTTTAAGAACAGAATCTCAATGTAAACGATAATATAACGTAACCGTTGGTATGTGGTAGAAGTGAAATTTATCGGATATTTCAATTTTTCCAAGATTTCTTCCAAGAGTAAAAATATCAGGAATAATGTAATAAAGTAAAATATGTCATTTATCACTTTAAACTAATACCGAACTTGTTCAAGTTTCAAGAAATGCCAACAGATATATTCTTAATATACAGACAACATTCTACACGTACAGTGTATTATAAAGGACATTACAAAAACAGTATATAACATTATCGTAATCTTATGTACCTGTTGACAAAATACACAGCAATAAGGTATATACTCCCTTAGGAACATCGATTCTTATATATCGATAACAAATTCCCTAGGAAAGTACTCGTCGCGCGCAAAGTTGAGTATGTTGAATAAGGCTCATTCGCGTATTAAAGCTTATAGAATAAAATTATCTAAATAATAAAGTAAAAATGACTTGCTGATACGGAGATATGAACGCTACATAAATCTAGCGTAATAACTATGTCCGTAAAATTGAAAGTGCGGGAGGGCCAGATTGCCTCATCATCATAGCAAAATTACTCAATCCTTGGTCGCTTGGCTGCTGATCGTTGGGATTGTTATGTGAAATATTTAAGTGTTTGCCTCGACTGCTATTGTGACTTTGCAAATGTTTCTTCAAGTGATCTTTTCTATAAAAAGCTTTGCCACATTCGGTACAAATTTGATTTTTGCTACCCGAGTGAGTAATCATATGACGTGCCAAATGCTCGTTACGTTTAAATGCTTTACAACACATGTTACACTGATATGGCCTATCTTTATTATGACCTTGCTTATGACGATCCAAGTGTTCCTTTCGTTTTAAGCTTGCCCCGCAAATATCACAGATATGTGGTCTCTGTTTATGATCTTCGAGATGTTCGTGAAGTGCCTCCCGATCATTAAATCTATATGCACACTCGGGGCAATGGTAAACCAACATACCTTTACAGGCAAAGAATATTATACGTTACATATAGAATTGTCGATAATAAAAAATAGAGACAAATATATTTCAACATTTCATTTTGTTTCTATAAATATCTTATCACATGCAATTATAATTTGCAAACGAAAGGTTGCTTCGGTATAAAGTATTAACTGCGACTCACCATTAATATGCTGTGGTTCAATATCAAATTCGATTTTTGCTCTTACTTCTTGATACGTAGAATTTGTACCACAGTCCTCATATTTAGTCGCGTATGGTAAACCTAACGTACTAGAGCAACGTGCCAGGCATTCGGAAAGCCTAAAATCAATTTGCAGAGGATCCGTCATAGTCGCAGCGTCTACTTTCTGCACAGTCTGTGTGCTGGATGACTGCTGTGAGATTTGTGGACAAAGTTCTTTGCTGCTGCGCAAATTGTTGTTTTCATTCCGATTTTCATCGGTTTGCTGGAAATGCTGCGGTGGATGGCCAGAATAATTGTATCCAACCACATTGGGCCGCTGCGAGGTATTTGGTGAATATTTCACGTTACGTGGATCGTAAGCCATTATTACCAAGTAAAGAAGTTTCAAGTATATCTTGGTATCCACTCTCGAGAAATTACTTCTTGATATTAATCACATATACGACATCTATGATGTCTACAGTAATGTCTGCAATATCTGCATTGTCGCCTAAAAAAGGGGATGGAGAAAATTTAAAGGGACTTACCGAGCATCTTGTCGCGCATTTATCATGTATGTCAGATATAAATTACGGCGTATTGAGGAACTATGAAAAAGTGTCTTACTGCGGCAGCATCATCGTAAAAAATGTATCCGCCGCGTGCTGTCCCGTTGTTTCTACCACGCTCATCTCGTCGTTTTTTCGATGCTCCTCTGGCGAAACAAACGTTTCCGCATCATCGGGGAGTCGTCGTTGGCAGTGTCGGCACCGTCGAGGGATCGGCCGAATTTATCTGCATTCATCGAAAACAATTCCAGTTACATCCTCACTTTTGCCTGCTACGATATTACATCTTAGACAGTGTCAAGTAATTCAAATGCTGCTGAAACGTTATCGGCCTATCCACTAAATCCACTTATGTATCGTGAATATCAGTGAACATGGTGAATTTCATGATCGGTACAGGCCATCTTTGCAGCATCTTTATCAGCTGCTATGCGTTCTGAAACCTTACTCTGACGCACACATATGGTACACCATCAGCACACACACACACACACACATACAGAGGGTGTCCGGCGAACTTCTGTCATGATGATAGAGTAGATAGAGTGAACTAAACTGAGTTGAAAAGTCCTTCACCATTTTGCAATTTTTTCGCAATATAGTTGACGAGATATTAATTACTAAAAATTGCCGAAAATTGGTTTTCAATAATTTTTAACTCAAAGACTATTATATTTTACAGAAAAACTACAACAGATAAAAATTGTTGATTTTCTTCTCATAAGGTTCTAAGAATTTTTTTAGAATTTTTTATCAACTTTGTAGTACCGCATTTTCTTATTTTTACCAACACATGAGAAAATACGATATTAAAAATTCTGAAAAAATTCTCAGAACTTTATGAGAAGAAAATAAACAATTTTTGTCTCTTGCTGTTTTTCTGTAAAGTTGATAGTATTTGAATAAAAAATTACTAATTATTGAATAACCAATATTAAGCGATTTTTAGTAATTAATATCTTGTTAACTATTGTGAATATTGCAAAATGGTAGAGCACTTTTCGACTCAGTTTAGTCCGCTCTATCTACACACGCTTTATGGCACAAGTCTCACCGGACACTGTAAATAGGCAGAATATAATGTATTTATTCCAAAATTGAAAAAGTATTCTCAAGTGTACATACAGTGCAGATTTTATCGATACGTCAGTGTTAAAATCCGCGCGGCGGCTTTCATTTCTCCGCGCTTTGATCTCGCACTGACAATGAGTATGTCGCCTCGCTCTCACTCGCTCCTTTCCGAATATCCAAAATGTCGGATTGTCACCGACTCGTTTCGTCTTACTTCGTTCTCCGGCGCAACTGCACCGTCGCTCCTGCTCTTCATGTATATGCATGTTCATTCAGACCTTGTATATATAATACATATTATACATACACATACTGATATATATACATATATATACCTTCACACTGTACCACTTTGAATTGAGGGCTTTGGGATTGATCAAACAGATCAAGTTTTGGAACACACATTCCATCCAGTAAGCGAGAATGGATTAAAATGGATTGAAATTTTGTTCTATCCGAATATATATTTTAAATAGCGAATACTTTTTTTGGATTTAATTGGATTTAATTGGATTCAATTAGATTCAATTGGATGCAATTGGATTGAAAAACTGCATTTCCTATTCAAAATTTTAAATTGAACAGTATTCAGGATGCACAGAAAAATCTAATATTATTTTTAAATTGAAAGGCATAGAGATATGCTTCATGCAATTCCTATAAATGAATAAAAGTGCATTCAGAATGGAAAAGCATTCATTTTAACATTCGTGAATGAATATTTCTGAAAAATCTGAATCCATTTCAATTCATTTCAATCCATTCTCGTTTGTTGAGGAGCGAAGCTATTGCAAAATACGAATCTGAAACTTTTAATGTGTAAGAAACGTCGTCGTCATCATTACCGCTACAGAGTGAGGGAAATGTCCTTTTGAAATTTTTGACGCAAGAGGTAAATGTGGCGCTAACACTGCATGGTCACATCACACATGGGACGTATCCGTTTATGCAGCGCATCCTCTGCTTTCTTATCTGCACATGACCTAAATTTACCGAATGGATCTCTGCATGAATAACTCGTATACCGTATTGGATCATATCTTTCAATAGAAAATCTGGAAAAACTGAATTGATTGAAAATTAAGGCCCAAGGGTCCTATTCTTGAACAAAAATAGCAATTTCGTACATAATCGATCAATCACAATCGAGAAACTGTCATTTTCGTAAGCAAAAATTTCATATATATATATATATATACATGTGTGTGTGCTCAAAAATAGATCATCAGTTTCACTTATAGTTAATCTTTAATTGAGGTTCAACTTATTCCTCATCTCTTTCTAATGCTAGAATTGAAAAGAGATGAAAAATAAGTTGAACCTCGGTTAAAAAAAGAGTTAAAAAATGAGTGAATTGTAAAATTGGGCCTAAATAAAAAATCCGAAAATATTAAATAATCTCAAAATATTATAAAATTTAATTATAAAAAGTTCATAATTCTTATGCGTCTATTGATATTTTTAATCTACATCCAAAAGATATGATTTTTAGATTAATCTGATCACAAATACAAATTAACAAACTTCACACCTTTTCCATTATATATCTTACGTTGTATTATTTTCTTTAGTAGTAAGATCGATTCCAACAAGTTATTCTTAACCTTTTTTATTTTTTAATATTTTAATAAAATTCATTTTTAATAATACAATCGGCTATTATAGTTGGCTGTATTATGAACAAGATGTCCAATCTGCAAAGGCAACTGCAGCGCAATTTGTCGTTCATTTATGCAGTATCGCAAGCCTCCTGAGCAGGATCACAGTATAAGTACGTATAGTATGGACACTGCTAGGAGCGTCGGCACCTTTGATGTAGTAGGTCCCAGGTCACATGACTCGCCGCCATGTTGTGGAAAGACGCTTATAAATTTGAGTTTTTATAAAGCTACAGAATGATTTTTCTAAAAAAAAGACATAATTCGATCGTGTCATGAAAATTGTTTATAACGAGTATATTTTTAAATCAGAATTATATAATAATATAATGTTAACGAATTCATTATATTGGGTCATCTAAAAAGTATCCGCGATTTTTTGTCACTAGATGTATTGATCATCAACACCATCTAGTGACAAAAAACCGCGGATACTTTTTAGATGACCCAATATAAAGATAATATTCACATTGATAATAATAATAATATTAAACAGTAATAAGTAAATTAAAAATAATAATTGATTAAATACTATATGAAAATTGTAATTGAATAATTATGTATGAAAAAATAATATATTGCATGAAAATTGTAATTAAATGTAAAATTGTAATTTAATAATATACGTAATTTAATAATACACACACACACAAATGCATATTTTATTACGAGAATACTTTATCGTATACAAACAGTCTACACAACATAGTCTTCGAAAAAATTTGATTTAATTTTTTAGTAAAATTTAATTTTATTAACCTTTTGCCCTACTTTTTTCTTACAAATTAAAAAAAAAATTAAGCTTTATACGAACGACGTACCACGGCTCTCACCCGTGATACTCATGTTTGGCCCGATTTTCTTACCACGAGTCTCACACGATAATGTAGGCGAATAAAGAGTTACGGTCAATGAGATGCTGCAAACGCTTTGAAGCGTTTTTTAATTGGTCAGTTTGTATCAATTCTTTCTTCTGATTGGTCCATCAAATGCTTCAAAGTATTTTTAGCGAGACTTGACTATTATATTTTATGAGAGAGATTCAGCTAACCTAACCTAATCTGCAATTTAAACTTACTGAAGACAGCCACGTTTCTGATTGAAAATCGACGCATGTGTATTAAAAATTGGAGACCACATAAAAAGTTCAATGTCCATACTGTATGTATTTCGTGATCAGTTTTAATGAAAGACATAAATTAAATTTTTAGAGACATAATTAAATTTTTTTCATTAAATGCAAATGTAATTTAATGAAAAAAATTCAATTGTGTCTTTCATTAAAACTATGATCATGAAGCAGAAATAGCGCGTTATTTGTAACTTCGTTACTTTTCTTGTTGTTTCTTTGTTATAATAACGACTTAGTAATGACGAATATTGTTATGATTGTGTAACGGTAACAGAATTGGAAAGTCAATCGTTACTTGTAATGAATTCAAAAAAATCATTCGTTACTGAAAAAGGTAATTTGTCACTTGTATCATGTTACTTTTTACTCGTTATTTATAACGAATACATTACGCGTTACTCGTCATTAATAACTTTTTTAAGTAAGTAATGAGAAAAAGTTATTTTTAAAAGTGACTTTTCTAAACTTGCAATTAGCACAACTTTAATATGTAGTTAATTATCGTTATAGTCATAAAAGAATTACAAAGTTATTATAGAAAGTAATGATAAGAGTAATGGCTTTACATTATTTGCCATCCCTGTTACGAAGTAAATGTATATACATACACCGACCTGATGATAACTCTACAAATTAGAACATTTAACTAATTGACATATTTTGGAATATTAAACACAAATTTAACACAGATATTGGTGTCATACACAGTATAATTAATAATTTCTTCGACTACTTCAGTTATGAATACAATCCATCCCTCCCCCCCTCCCTCCGAATATTGTTCGAATTACGCAGTTGTTGATATTCCTTCCAATGTGTCGTCCATTATGGATCATTACAGTTCATGTAAGCACATTTTCAATTCCTTTAAAACATTATATGAGCGACACAAAAATAAATTGTTATAATCCTATATTGGAATATAATCCTATATTTTATTGGTTATAATCCTATATTTTAATCATATTTTATATAATGACGCTAAATATTAACCTTTACTAATATGGGTAACTAGTGATCGAACGATTCATTCCTATTCGTGCAAGTTTCTCGCAAGCTCGGTTAACCCGGCGCTTGTTATTGCTGCGTAAAAAAAGTTTGTGATAGGAAGGACCTGTGCTTAGCAATGCGATCTCGGTCGTCAATCTACCTATAACTGGTGCAGTTTAAGTTGATGTAAGATACTTGTGAATATACGATGATTAGTGTTTTTGTGAAAAATAAAAATTGTGTCAAAATCATTATAAGTATTCTATTTTCACTCTAAATTAATATCTGAATGTTTGTTTTCATTTAAAAAATTTCTTTGTAAAAGAATTATTTATTTGTGAGCATCGTACTTACATATGTATAGATTGCAAAACGTAAAATCTTTCTTTTATACATATTTATTTAAATATGTTTTTTCATTTTATATTTCTTTTTATTAAAAAAGACATTATATTACAGCAAAATAAAAAAATGCATATTTTAACTCTATTTTTTTCTATATATTATCTCTTACTGAAAATTACTCATATTCATGTGTTCAAACTTTTTATGGAATTCGAAGTTCTAGTATTTTTTTTCATAACTTCATTTCTAAATTACAAAACTCTGCAGTCATTTTTTTATATCATTTATTATGAAAAGTTATAATTTTTTAAATCAAATGCCATTTTTTTCCCAACTTATGAGTCTTTCAGTAATTATAGATTATACTATTAGGTGTTGGAATTAATTCGTAGCGTTTTTTAATGAAAGAATGTTATTTATTTCACATGAGCATTAAAAAATACATTAATGAAAGTACTTCCCATCACTTGTAAAACGCTACGAATTAATTCCAACACCTAATACATTTTATTATTTTTCAAAATGAAGAGTCAATATTTATTCTAGAAAGTTGAAAGTATGTTAGTAAATTTTTAGAGATTTTTTGAATTATTTTGGAGAGATGAAAAACCGAAGAGATTCTAGTGACCCCTGTCCATAGTATGGATGAGGCACCAAATTATACATAATACAATAAGGATTAAATGCTATTTTCAACGTTTTTCAAAATGTAATTTAATTATAAACAAATTGTATAAAAGTTGTGTTTATAACATAATACTGTTTTATTGAACAACACATTTTTATAGTTGATTTATTTTATTTGTTATTATTTTTACTGTCAAACTAAAATTTAAAGATGATGACAAAAATCTATATTTTTGTAAATAAGTACTTCAAGTATTCGAAATAATTCATGCAAAATTTCATTGCGATTTACTAATTAGTTACAAAGATTTAGAATAAATAAATATTTTGTTTATTTACTGAACAACTAGTTCGCGTATCGCAATGTAACTTTAACCAATAAGAAATAAAATTACAACGTAACTTTATATAAATAATCTTGAATATTACAGGAAGGACTTATATTAAAAAACTGAGATATTAAAAATTGAGATGTTAAAAAACTGAGAGTTTTGTCA